GTCTCTGTCTGTCTCTATCTCTTTTTCTCTTTATCTCTGTCTTCAACAACATCTCAATGGGATCCTTCTAGAAATTCATCCAGAGCCATGTCTGACAATGAGGCTTTTCTTCAAGATGACTTCATTTGTTTTGACTTCTGCAGGACACCATGGTTGTTGTCAACATCCAGTCTGCCCATCATGATGAATCCCAGTGGAAGTTTCCCAATGAGTTCAACCCCTCCAACTTCCTGAATGAAGAGGGAGAGTTTGTGAAGCCAGAAGCCTTTTTGGCATTTTCAGCAGGTGAATTTGTCTCTGTCTCCCTGTGCCTGTCTGTCTGTCTGTCTGTCTCTCTCCCTGTCTCCCCTCTCTCTCTGTCTCTCTATCTCCCTCTCTATCTGTCTCTGTCTCTCTCTGTCTCTCTGTTTCTCTCTCTTTATCTCTCTCTCTCTGTCTCTCTATATCCCTGTCTCTCTTTCCCTCTGTCCTATCTGTCTCTGTCTGTCTCTGTCTGTCTCCGTCTGTTTGTCTCTCTCTCTCTCTGTGAATCTCTTTATCTCCCTGTCTCCCTCACTCCCCCCTCTCTCTGTCTGTCTCTCTGCCTGACTGCCTGTCTCTTTCTGTCTGTCTGTCTGTCTGTCTCCCTTTGTCTCTGTCTCTCTCTCTTTCTGTCGCTCTCCCACTCTCTCTCTTTTTGTGTCTCTGTCTCTCTCCCTCTCTGTGATGGAGAAAGAATGAGACAGATAAGTACCTGATCTCTAAGGTCAGAATGAGAGACAAAAAGAGGAACTGAAGTGAGAGAGGAAAGAAGTGAAGATTGATTTGAGAAGGTGAGTCTTTTCAAGAATAAAGCGAAGCAAAAATAAACCTTTAGGATCATTTTGTGAAGGGCCAAGATGGGTCCAGTGGTTGGAATAATTTGTCAGTCTTTAGCTGTCTGAATGGCTTCTCTCTTTCTCCTTCCCTTTGTCTTTTCAGGACCGAGAGTCTGCGTAGGGGAAAACCTGGCTCAGATGGAGCTCTTCCTCTTCTTCACCAGCATTCTCAGGAACTTCCAGCTATTGTGGCCAGATAAATCTCAAGCTCCAGATTTCACACCACACTCTGGGATTGCACAATTCCCATCCCGCTTTAAGGTGTTGCTGAAAAGTCGCTAGCCCTGTGAGTAGGTGTAAGGGAGGATCTATAAAACAACTGATTCAAGACGATCCCATTCTCTCCAACAGCCAGTGGCCACCTCTACTTCAAATTCAGCACAAGATCATTTTATAAAAACATAAATAAAATGCTATCCCATGCAAAACTATGATGATGAATTTCATTTTCCAAATCTCTTCTCAATTTCTTTAAGATTACTGTCGCAAAGGTGCTTTTTTCAAGAGGCAACTGGATTTTCTGTTTTTTTTTGAAGATGTTTCGCTTCTCATCCAAGAATCTTCTTCAGCTTCTTCTTCTGACAACTTACAGACTAACAGAGTTGGGAGGGATCTTGTAGGTCATCTAGTCCAACCCCCTGCCCAAGCAGGAGAACCTACTCCATTTCCAACAGATGGCAGTCCAGTCTCTTCTTGAAAGCCTCCAGTGATGAGTGATTCTCTTGGATGAGAAGGAAAACATCTTCAAAGAAAAAACTGTTGCCTTGAAAAAGCACATTTTGGACAACCAGTACGTGGATGATGGAGACTCTCCATAGATGTTTAAGATTACTGGAAGGCAGAATGGAGAAGGGAAGGGAAGAGAAGAGAAGAGAGGAGAAAATAGAGAATAGAATAGAGAATGGAATGGAGTGGAATGGAAGGGAGGTGAATATAGAAGAGAAGAGAAAATAGAGAATAGAATAGAGNATTTTTGTCACTCATTCTGGGACGGGAGGTAGGCCTGCCCCCCCCTACCACTTCTGCAATAGCACTCAGTGGAGGGGGCACCAGGCTGTACTCTCAATCCTCTCATACATACACAGCCACTCATCCATGCATTCCCCACGTATGTTAATTAAACACAAAAAATACAACAATATAAGGTTAAAAAGCTGGGTACAAACATCATCCAGGCACACCATTCACACTACATTCCTAAAATGTGCGGAGCACTGCGCAAGTATGGTTAAGATAGTCAATGGTGCGGAAGGAGGAGGGAGAGCTTCCTCAAGTCCTGAAAAACACCCCAAGTCAAAGGTCCAAAAAGAAAACCGTGTTGGGTGGGCGATTGTAAAATAGGGGGCAGATGGAATGATGTCCCTGATAGTTGGAATAATATTCTTGGGGTAGCGGTGGGCCACCGTAGTTGCAACAAAAGGAGCAGAGGTGTAGATCTGGAAGTCTGAGAGTCCAAGTTCGTAAACAAAGTAAACAGAGAGAGCCAGATGGTAAAGGTGGTAGAAGAGGGAAGGAGGCTCCGCAATTGCAAAAGAAGGTGGGGGAGGCTGCACTGCAAAGAGGCCCTGATCAAGTAGAGCCAGGGGGTGGGGGGATGGTCGCAAAGACACCAAGTAGAATCCGCCGCCCCCTTCCATCCAGGGCCGCCATCCAGAGTTGCGTGAATCGGCCACCCCACTCCCCAATGCTGATAATAAACTGGTGCAAATCCACAGGCTCCTTCCAGTCTCATAAAAATAAATAGGAAGCCGGAACAAGACTGGCAGGGTCGCCGCAAACCGTTGAGGTGATGCGGGAGTGGGGAGCGCCTGGGGGGGGCTTAATGGCGACAACAAAGCCTGCCGAACGATCCCCTTTGGCGCCATCCGGGCCAACTGCCTCCTCCCTGGCACGATAGTCTCCTGTTCAGTCCAGTCTAGAGTGGCTCTGCTGGGTCTCCCGATCAGGAAATAGAGTTGCAAGGCGCCGGCCTTGTTAACACTGCCGGGAGCGGCGGCGCCAGCATGAAACTGTCATCTTCACTGCTCGGTCGAAGAAACCAGCGAAAACACCACTTAAGCTGGACTTTAGAGGAATCAATGCTGTGTGTGTACACAATCTATACCCTCTACCCCTCATGAAGGAAATGCTATCTCACCTGGCCAAGGGAAAAGTCTTCACCAAATTAGAGCTCAGAGAAACATACTACTGAGTAAAGATCAGGGAAGGAGGTGAGTGGAAAACAGCATTCAACTGCCCCCTAGGGAACTTCCAATTCAAAGTGATGCCTTTCAGATTTCAGGGAGCCCAGTGGTGTTCATGCAGTTAATAAACAAGGTGCTGCACAAGCACCTCTACAAGGGGGTCTTCGTCTACCTGGTGACATTCTTATCTACACAGAGACCGTGAACGACCACATACCCCTGGACTGACAGGTACTGGATAAACTTCTGGCAGCCAACATGTACGTCAAGCTGTTGAAATGTGAATTCCACCATGTACGGCTAGACTACCTGGGTTACCGAGTATCAATTGAGGGAATAGAGATTGACCCAGCCTAAGTACAAGCCATCCGAGGCTGGCAACTCCCTCGCACCCATCTTGGGTAAAGAGTAGAAATATCCAGGCTGATCGCCTTATAGCAAAATTCCATGCAGAAAATCCAAACAACCCTGTGGGGAGGATGTAGCTGTAAATCCTATACCTGTACTCAAATTGTTTTTGCTTCACACAGGTTGTTTTTGGAAAGTGAGGGGAGCCAAATGTCAACTCATAAAGTTGCCATGGTGAAGAAAAAGGGGGAGCATATTCCACGCATACTTTCAGCTAGAGTCAGATCTCAGATTACCACAGCAGACTTGGGAGGGGTGCACCTCATTGGGGAATATAATTTATGACACAGATTGAAGGGAGGGAAGGAACAGAGGCAAAGTTCAGCTGTAATTCAAATAAGTCTCAGATCTGACTGCAAAAAGGTCTTGCCAAAATAAATGCTCCTAATAAATGACTAACTTTTTTTTGGCTCAAGACTCATGAATCAATTAGGGCATCTTTTGAAAACCTGACACATAGGTTCACCATCACGGTTCTAGTACATTCCTCATCATACAAACAACACACTTTGTGTGCCAATAAGTCTGGTAAGAATACATAATTTTAAATTCCTCATAATGGTAAATCACAAATTATCCTAGCTTTTCTCTTTTTTTCTTGAAGGGTGAAGCAAAAGTATCAGTTCCAAAATGACAAGGCACAGATCATGATATCACAGTGCGTTGTGATGCGCTTGTCACTTGCCTCCGCCCATAAATGCTTATAGATACAATCACCATCCATCCATGTTTTCTTGCTATGTTTTTTCTTTCTCCTGAAGTCCCAGAATTTGCTTTCTCTTCAAAGATCTGAACATTATTTCTGAGTTCTATTTCCTGTCTCTCTTGCTTTCATCTATAGGTAGTCCTCAACTTACAACAGTTCATTTACTGACTGGTCAAAGTTACAACAGCACTGAAAAAAGTGACTTATGCTCATTTTTCACATTTACAATCATTGCAGCCTCCCCATGATCATGGGATCAACATTGAAATGCTTGGCCACTTATTTATATTTCTGAAGATTGCAGTATCCCAGAGTGATGTGATCACCATTAGTGACCTTTTGATAAGCAAATTCAATGGGGAAGACAGATTCACTTAGCAATCTTGTTACTAGCTTCTCTTCCTTATGGATGATTATTTCTTCTGTCATCTCATAATGAGGCATCTCTCTTTTTTTAACTGATACATCTTTATTTTCCATTATTAGCTGAAGTGCAGCTACTCATTGTTCTAATCCTTTGACTTGTATTCAGTAATCATTTTAAATCTTCATTTGCTGTAAAGGAGGAAAATATCTTAAGAACCAAGAATATTCATAGAGAAGATTTAAAAAAATAGCATGGTTGCAACCATGCACTCACTTTTTATATCTCTATTATGGATTCATTCTGATTCCCCCAAAATTCCATAGCCAAACTGTCATTTACTTTTCCTGATTATTTTTTTATGGGGAGGGGGAAGTGAACTGACCTTTTGGGATACTTGTATTTTACTTATAGAGAGTACTCTTGTCCATTCTGCTGCATTAAGATGCATCACAATAGCAGATATGGGATGCTTGATCTCAACATAGTTGGAGAATAGCTAGTCAAGGAAGGCTAACATAGGGCTTTAAAAGGTTCATGGTTATTTTCTGCTATTTGAGAATAAAAGAAGAGTATATTTCTTACCTGGTATTTACCTAGATAAACATAATATATCACATAATACTTTTTAATAAGATAAAGAAGTTTACCAAATTAAGGCATGTCCAATCAGTTGGTTAAGTGATCCTCCTATATGTGAAGCACCAAGCACGATCTGTAAAGACATGTCATTATAAGGACACTTCTCAAATTATGACCACAACAGGGACCAGAATTTCCATTGCTAAACAAGGCAGTTGTTAACTGCCTGATTTTACAATCTTTTTGCCATGACTGTTAAGCAAATTACTGAAATTATTAAGTCAAACCTGCAGTTGCTAAGTAAATCCGATTTCCCCCATTGACTTTGCATATCAGAAAGTTGCTGGGAAGATCACAAATGGCAATCATGTGCCCCTGGGATGCTGCAGCCATAATAAATACATGTCAGTTTCCAAACATCTGAATGTTAAACAGATAACTATGAAATGCAACAATTGTAAGTGTGAGGAGTCATGTCATGAGTCATTTTTTTCAGCGCCATTGTAACTTGAATAGTCATTAAACAAATGGTTGTATGTTCAGAGGTGAGATTCAACCAGTGCTAACCTATTTGCTAGAACCAGTAGTTTATTTCCTAAGCAGTTCGGAGAAATCTCCTTTTGTTGTTTTCCACTTTACAGGGTTAATCCTGTAAGGAAGGCAGGAAAGAAACATTCTGGTGTTGTTTCTAGTCTAATCTTTATTGCCCTGCTTACAGAAACTGCCTCTCTATTAACTCTTATTACATTCTTGGCAATCTGCCTAGGCTTACTGACTCCTGATGTTGTTGTTTTTTTCCTTTGCTGGGACTTTGCAGAGGCTTGACTTTCTTAAAGGGGAATGATTGTTTTAAGCTTTGTACACTGCTGTTGGGAGGAAATACTGGAGTTCTTCCAGCTGGGATGCAATGATCAGCACTTTGAAAAAATAATTAAATAACAAAGCAGAGCTGTGGAAAAGAAGCTTTTAATGACAAGGAAACAAGATGGCTGCGAGGCTCCGTTCGTCGTGAACTATCCAACGAAAATGCCAAAAAAAATCGTGAGCAACAACTTTAAAATTAATATGAGAGGCTCGCCCAGGATGCTTAAGATCCAGGGGGCCCGAAAAGATCAGCCAGCGGCAGGGGTTACCATTTTGGGGACAACCCCGGACCGCAAAAGTTCCAGCGCCTTTAGCGGCTTCCATGCTGGTTTGGCCACTCGGCAGCGAGGAGAGGAATCTCAGCCTAATAACAACGACGGCGTTCTTCGATGGCTTCATCGCCCATTTCACTTCCCTGCCTTGTCTGCCTACGGCGAGAACACCTTGTGACCGTGGGACCGCCCCCGGGACCACCCCCGGACCGTACGGACTTTGCGACCGCGGACCGCGTGGACTCTGGCGGCTCCGGCGGCCTCCGTGCTGTTTCGGCCATTTCAGCTGTTCGGCGGCGAGGAGAGGAGCCTCAGCTCGGTGGCGGCGGTGGCGTTCTTTGGCGGCTTCATCGNCAGCCCTGGAACATCCCCTTGGCACCTGCCCTCCCAGCCCTGGAACATCCCCTTGGCACCTGCCCTCCCAGAGCATCACCGCCACCACCACTGCCCCTCTGAACCCCAGAGCAGCGGCTGTGTCTCCATCAAGGGCCACCTGCCCATCCACTGGCTGAGCTGGGCTAGGCTGGGCTGGATGCCAACCTTGGAAGGCAAGAAGGTGTGGGGGATCACTGGGAAGGCACTGTGGAAGGCAAGCAAGTCTGGCAGGGTTGCAGGCCGCAAGGAAGGGAGTAGGGGAAGCAGGCTGGGAGGGTGAAAAGCAGAAATTGAGTGTGGCGGGGTGAGTGAGCAGTGCCTGGGATATCAGTTCGGGGGTGCGGCCAGTTTTCAGTCCCTACCAGTTCAGCAATCCAGACTCAATGTCCACTCCTGATTCTCACAAACCGGTCCAAACTGGCAGGATTTCACCCCTGGTGTACTTCCAAAAGGCAGGATGCTAGTTTGGCACTGATTTTTTTTACTGCCTTTCTGGGAGGCATGTGATATTTCCTAAATCTGGATGATTTCCTTAGGATATCTAATGAGGTGATTAAGACCAGCTGGTATCTTTAAGTGGTGCAAATGGATTTAAGGATTGCTTCTCCTGGTGTACTCTTTCTGGAGAGTTTAAATGACCTCTCTGCTAAAGGGTTCTACTTTATGAGCAAAAGTTGGCTGTTGATAGTTATCATTGCATTTTAACTATTTTAATTCCTTAAGGTTCTCTGGCACCCGGCCTGATTTGTAACTCTGATTGCAGGTATTTTTAATCTAATGATTGGTGTTTAGGGCAGCTTTTTGCAAGCAAAGAAGCTTTTTGTATATTTGTACAGGTAATCCTTGACTTATAACAGTTCATTTAGTGACCATTCAAAGTTACAATGGCACTGAAAAAAGTGACTTATGACTGTTTTTCACACTTACGACCACTGCAGCATCCCCATGGTCAGGAGAGGCCAGGCTAGGCAAAGCACCCCTCGACATGAGTGACATCGAATTGGCCACAACCACTCAGTCACATGATAACCAGCCATGCCCACCAAGCCGGTAGTAAAAAAAATTGAACCCCACCACTGGTCAAGATCCCAGTAATTTGTTATCTCCCTATAGCCAAATAAATTTAATAAATACATTCTTTATTAAGAAGTAAATGAAGTAAAAAAGAGGATTTTCTTGCCTGGGAAAACATCCATCAGTTGCTCTCCCTAATCAGGCATGATTCTAGGAAAATAGCAACTAAAGTGGTAGGTCTACTCATCTGCTAGAACCTGATCCATGGAGAGTAGTCACGTGCCATTCTTTTTTTTAATTAGGAAGAATATAACCAACATATAGATTGCTTAAAAGTATTGATTATTGATTGATTATATNTAATTTTGGGGTTCCATTTTTTCAGCCATGCAAGACCCAGAACTAGTGGCCATTCCATGCCAGGCGCCACTATAAATGTAAGCATTTCCTTGTGGTTTCCAATGCTTATCTGTAGAGGCTCAGTAGCAAATGAAGCTGGCTCCCCCCCCCCTGCTATTGACCCATCTATTTGGCAAAAAGCTATGGGGCTATTCAGTTTCCTTACATTAATCCTCAACTTCCTTACCAGGGTTGGGCTGAACAAACAGCGGGTGCACCCCAAGTCCACTAAAGCTGAGATTTTCATCCCCCTCTCCCAGTTGGAGATAAATAGTCTCAGGACAAGGTAAGCAGTTTAATTGGTTTGCTTACCAGTGGTTCAACCTCTGGATCGCTTCCAGATGAGTATGGTTCCTCCTGCTGTGAAGCCGGGATTTCCTCCTCAAAGAAGGGAGGGGGTGGAAATTCTACGGTCTCCCTGCTCCTCAGGGCCATCTCCTTTCCACGCTGGCCAGGTTTTGTAGGTTTTCCCCAATGGGCGATCTGGTTTCTTAGCCAGTTCCAGAGAACAGCATTCTGCAGCTCAGTGCCCCTCTTTTCCACACTTGAAACAGACTAATGATTTTGGAGAAGGTGTTGTTTGCGATTGAAAAGGTTCTTGTTTCCATTGGGGTGGGGATTTCTTCCACATTCGTCCTGCCCGATACTGATTTGTGGCCATGTCGATCTCTGACTCTTCAGCAATAAGATACCACTCATGTAGATGGGTTGGGGTACCTCGGGCCACACAAGCATTGTAGAGTTCATCACTCATCCCATACTTGAACCAGCTTACCAGCTTATCTGGCCAGTTCACATGATATGCCAGGTCTCAGAATTCTTCAGTATACTCTGCCACTGGCTGGTGTCCCTGCTTCACAACTTTAATGTGGTCGCGTGCTTTGCGGTCTGCGAGGGAATCCTTGAACCATTGTCGCAGGGCTATCATGAACCAATCAAAGTCCTGCAGTTCTGGTGCATCGGCATCTTGTAAAGTTACCATCCATCTGGCAGCTCCTTCCATGGCTAGGGTGATCACTCGCACTCGGGCTCGGTTTTGAAAATCACACCCATATTCTTGCATGTAGGTGATCACATGTGCCACAAAGAACCCCATTTTTTTCAGGTTCCCATCAAATTTTACCCCCAGGGAAGGAGTTTTCCTTTCGAACTGCAGGTTTCGGGGTTGGTTTGGAGTGGTCCCCACCCATGTTGCTGCTGTATCATCAGCTTGATCTGCAGGGACCAGAGGGGGGTTAGTTTCCCTGGCTTCACCCCCATTTGCCGCCCTTCCAACGCTTCTCGGTTGCCGGTCTGGCTCCCCCCAGATGTTGAGATTTCCCCAAATTTCCATCACCAACCAGGGTACATGCCTCTTCAGAGGATCCTCTCTCAGCACGGCTTCATTTAGCTCCTCCTGGTCAGAGGGGGCTTCTAACGCCAATTTCCACCCTGGTTTTCAGCTACCTTGAGTAAGAGTGACTCCCCTAGTCTTCCCTTCCCAGCCATCTTTTGTCCCGATTCCGATTGGCCAACAGGGCTTTTTGGGGTCCTCCAAGCTCACTCCATTCTCTCCACCAGGATACAAGGAGCAGGTTTCTGGTTGGGGGGGGGTTTCCATCTCCCTCCAACAGTCAGTTTCCCCTTGTTCACTGTTATGCTCAGACATGGTTCGCTGGGTCCCCTTGGTAGAGTAAAAATGCTTCTGTCCTGGTTGACCACTTTGCAGAGAGGTGCTGCTTTATGTAATGGCTCCTCTCCTACCTTGAGAAAATAAAGACTCTTGAAATGGATTATTTCAAAAGGAACTTTTAATCAGGCAGGATGGAAACCATTAGAAGCAAAGCAGCATCTGAAAACCTTTAGGCCATGCAAATGGAATTAAGCTGATAATGACCCCTCCCCTTTGTCCGAATGCAGATTCTGACCAATACACAAGTGTGAAGATGCTTCCTTAACTCTTCTGCCCTGGGAGTCAATAAAGCACACGTTCCCATGGCTATCTCTAGTTAGACATCAAAGTTATATATCCCACATAGCTACTATAAACATCCCTGCAGAGATGTTGGGACCTTCAGTCTCCCGGTGACAGGAAACCAGTTGTAAAGTTGTAAAACTCAGTTGTTTCAGGTGTAGCTAATGATTTAACTCAGAGGCTCCCCTCCTCCCAATTGAATGGCAGTATCACTTTTAGGGATCTGACAATGAGTGGCATTCAGCAAGGCTTTTGGCTAGCTAGAAAGATTGAAATTCAAATGTGTTTGGTCTAAAACTAGTTTTTGCTGAAGTTTAATTCTGTGCTTGGTGATGTTTAATCCTGTGATTATTGATGGGATAATTTTCCCTATTCAGCTTTGTTTGGAAGGAAAAATGCTAATCTCTGTTCCTGAAAAGAAGCAGCTTCTGAAATCTGGCTTGTTCCTGTGTCTATTTGTTCTGATAATTGGTTTAACAAGCAACAACTACCCTCTTTGCTCCTTTGCTTAATTCTAGTATAAATTGCTTACTTTGTAGTTAGACTTATCTCAAGTGTTTACACTTGAGTTTGCCTAGGGTGTGAGCTCTGGCAATGACCTTGTGTTTTTGTTTTAAAAGGATTTAAACTTGTAATTTAATTATTTGTATTGTGTTTGAATTTTTTCCTGCATCATTGTTTCTTTTTCTATCTGGGGAGGGAGTCTTCCTTCACTGATTTAGTGGTTGTTGGCACAGTCCTTTTGGGGTGTACTTCAGTGGTGAAATCCAAAAATTTTCCCTAACGGTCCTGTGGGTGTGGCTTGGTGGGTGTGACTTGGTGGGGAGTCATGTGACTGAGTGGGCATGCCCAACTTGTCATCACTGACAGCAATCCACCAAGCCACACCCACCAAGCCATGCCCACAGAACTGAGTCACACAGCCACCCCCCAAACCAAGTGGTGGGAAGACTTTGGGATGACACTCTGGACTGCTGAAAAGGCTCCCTAGGCCTTCAGCATATCCCAGGATTGCAACGCTGAAGGCTCAGCAGGAAAATGGGGATGATTTTTTTTCCACCCGTCCTTTTCTCAGTCTATGCTGACCTTAAGAAAAGGCTGAAGGCTTGTGGGGGAGACTTTCTGGTGATCAGTAAGAAAATTGTGAGGGAGATTTTCCTGCCTGTTTGCCCGAAGCCTCCACAACTGTTCTGGCAGCCAGGGCAGAGAATCTGCTGGCAGATGGGACAGAGAGGGGCCAAGGGCAAAGCAGTGCCACATGGAACTGTAACCATAGAGCAGGAAACGCACTCCCAGAGTGGCTGGCTCCCAGAAGTCTTGGCAGCAGGTGGCTGGCCTGACCGGTCTCTTTTCCACTTTCAGTGGCTTCCAGCCAGTTTTTGGAACCTGCAGAGGATGCCTGCCATGCCCAGCAAGGGTGGGAGAAGAGACAGCAGAAAGAGCCATGTCTCACTCCATGCATCTTGCTTCTCTCCCACTCCACCTGCCATCCCCCTTGATAAAGAGATGGTGGAAAAAGGAAGAAACCAGGCTGCTGTTGCCATTGGGGTGGGGTGGGGTGTGTTGGGCTGTGATGTGTGCATCTTACCTGAGACTTGTAACTCTATTGCATTCCTTGCCATTGTGTCCAGGAAAACACGTTGTAAAAAAAATTCTTACAAGTTCAGTCAAACTTCTCAAAGTCACAAGAAGTTTATTTCCCTGCACACAATGGCAAGGAATGTGACAGTGCTGCAGGTCTCAGCTAAGACACGTGTCTCACAGCCCAACATGCACCACTCTGCACCATCTGCCACCCCCAAATTACATCCGTAAAAGGGGAAGGTGGCTAAGGGACAGTTCCCTTTGTGGTGGCTCAGGAAGGAGGGAAATGGGGAGCAGCAGCAGCCACCATCACCAGATGCAGGGAGGAAAAATCCTCCTGTGCAGTGCAGAAGGGCTGTGTGCAAGGAGAGCCCTGCGCAATGCAGAGGAGCTGGAGCTCTCTTCCCTGCATCCAGCAATGGTGGCTCCTGCTACTCCCCATTCCCCTCCTTCCTGAGCCAACATGAAGGGGATTGCGGCATTGAGTCTCCTGGGAAGGATGCAGAATCGCAAAAAGCAGCCGTTCCTGGGCAGTGCAGAGAAAATGATAGGGGCACTTCAGCTGCGCGATTCTGCAGTAAAGCTCATGCCTTCTCAGGAAAGAGAGCAGATTGTGCGAATGGGTCAGCAGAGAGCCACAGGAGAGGAGTCAAAGAGCCACCAGACCCAGTATGTTGGTAAGGCAGATGGCGGGCAGCCCTTGGTAGAGACTCAGATGCGGCTCTGGGGCTGAAAGGGGCAGTGGCAGCAGGGGTGCTCCTGGAGGTCAGGTGGTGCACATGTGCAGCAGCCCTGGAACATCCCCTTGGCACCTGCCCTCCCAGCCCTGGAACATCCCCTTGGCACCTGCCCTCCCAGCCCTGGAACATCCCCTTGGCACCTGCCCTC